AAATACGAACACCTGCAACAATCTCGGTCTGCATTCCATAAGGTTCATTTCTTATGCTCGCCTGAATGATCCTTTACTCACTGTTGCGTCATAGGTTACGTCGGCATTGTTGTACTGGTATAAACAGCAGCCAACAATCGGCTTTCGTCAGTCGGGAACGAATTCTGGATAAAGTGCTTCGAGTTTCTTTTGTGTTGACTTCTTTAGTGAAAACCTTTCCGAATAATTCAAGTACTTTTCTTGTGCGCATTCCACTCTTCACTCTGTCTTGACGGAGGACATCGACGAAGAAAGTAATGAACACCGAAACGTCGGAAGACATGTCGAGCTTAAGTACGCAAGCGAATCACGAGGCTGGCTCTGAGACGAAGAGGAAATTTCTCGCAGCAATTAATTTAACGCGCGCGATGAAGTCGAAGGACGAAGATTGTGTGAGAACAGAAAACTGCGGCCTTCCGACCACAATCGAAGTTTTAACTTCAAATGGACAAACCGTTCCTTTGCAACGGGCGACGACACAGGAAACTGACGTGGACGAGGCTTGTACTCTCGGAAATGAAATTACTCTCCTGGTTATGGACAGTTTTCCCAAGCAGTTTTCTGGTACTCGCACGGATTCCAATGTAGACTTTTCTGAATCCGTTGCACCAACGGAACTTCCGGTGGCAGAATTTCAGCATAAAAATGACGCCGGCGACTTAAGCGATGATCTTTCGTGGCTGATAAATTTTAAACCTGGCGCGTCGTCTATCGCAGCTGAAGTCGAGGACGGCCACAAAGGCGGAGGAGGTATGTGGAGTGCCCTTTGTTCTTTGCGTTCTGAAGAGTTTGTGCAAATGAGATTTTCCTACATTTCCCGGTTTTATGTGGGCCTGGGTCTGTCCTTACAAATATCTTTATGAGCGCATACGTGAATAAATTACTTTTTCCTTAAATATTCAAAATCGCCACCTTCCACCTCGACACAACTTCACGACTTGGGATGAGCTACAAATACACTGAAGACTTTCTCATCACATACACATAAGCCAATTCCCAAAATATTTTTGGGGGCTCTCACCTTAAATTAAAATAAGTTGAGATTGCTTTAGCGTAATAAAATTACCGATTATGACTTACATAATCCTCTGACAGAAAAGCTGATGCATCTAAAGCTGTTCCGATGCAATAGACATTTTTATTCGTAGTGCAATTTGAAACACAAAACTGTTTGACTGTCACTCACAATTCGCATTTTCTCTGTTACTGGAACCTCGCCCCTTCAATGCGCACTCATTTTCAGAAACGTCAACACAGCGCATTTTATTACTCAGGCTTCGTATGTCTGTAACTCTTGAGGTACATTGGAGACAGCCATGTTTCTTTAAACCGTTGGCCACATTCTGATTCTTATAATTTGAAAACTATGTTATAAATGGATTCTATTATTCTTTCAGGTAATAATAATAATGGCCTCATCGACAACCGTCAGCAGCACCAACCTGACCTGAAATTACCAGTTCGGCCGAAGAGACGCCGTCAACGTAAGAGAAGAGCGGAAAAGATCAAAGGAACGGCAATGGGTCATCCTGTTGAGAAAATACGACGACCGCCGAACGCCTTCATGTTCTTCTCGAATGAGTGGAGGAAGAAGATAGCTGCCATCTACCCCGAAGAGAGTAACAGGCAGATCAGCGTGAGGCAAGTTGCAATACACAATGTACTTCAGGATAATTACTTATTAACAATTTAATTTGTGAGCGACAAATTGTCTTCAAAGCCATTCGAATTCAGCGGACTCGTAAGATCATTGTTCAGTAACGATTATAAACATGGCTCCGGTGCGAACCTGTAAATTATATGTGAGAATTTTCTCGTGTTCAGAACGCGCACTTAAAAATTTATTCTTCTCAGAGAGAGAAAAAGACAGTATATTTCGTGGTGACGCTGTTAATTGTGGTGATGATAAACTATGAGCCCAAATAATTGTAAAAAAAGGTTGACTCTTGTAAAATTCGACTCGCAAATTTGCCTTTCATTGCTGGAATATAAATCTATATTTGCCTTATTATAAACTGAACGCATGATACATAGGACAAAAGTCAAGCCTACAGTAGAGAAGTAGAATTTAGGAGTCCGCCCAGAACTCTTCTTTTACTCTAAAATTTCACAAAATCTTAAATTGGCAGAGAATGCATGAGGTGAATTCAAAATCGGATATCTCATTTCCAATTGCTGAAAATGTTCTGATCGTCGAAAACAGGTGAAACATTTCGTGCGCTCTGATACGCCACTGCCTTTGCCTTTACCCAGCTGCAACCCTTGGACGTTCGTCCTCCGGTTCGTCCTACAACCTGCCTGCGTTCTTACAAGTTTTGCTTCTTCTATCTGCAGACTTGGCGGAATGTGGAAAGGAATAGAAGGAGTGCACAAGAATGTGTATTTTGCCCTCGCACGCCAGGCAGAAGCGGAGCATAAGAAGAAATATCCAGGTAAGTAATTAATTCTACGCCCTGATGACGGAGGCTGTATGACCTCCTAAACGTTGGTAAACATCTACCAGACTACACGATGCAACAACCCAGAAGACAGAAATCTTCATACTCATCGCCCTGATGATGGAAGCAGTATGACCTCCGAAACGTTGGTAAACATCGACCAGACTACACAGCGCAACAACCCACACTCACCGATGTGAAAACCTCAAATTTTACATACGTAATTAATTCTCTTTTAATGTCAACAAGCAGCAGAAAGCTTCCAAAAAATGTTCCCGAGAATTTTGAGAAACGTCACCAATTTTGATTTATTTGGGATTGACTGCTGGCGATTTGAAGTAAGAGAACTTTTGACGGGTCTTTATTTTTTAGTAAGATTTCAGTCGGTCAGAGCTGGAGTGGCTGAAGTAAAGTAAAATTGCAGAAGGCGTATTTCTTCTTATATTTCGAGTTCATTTCATCCTCAGCCTCGCCGCAGCGAAAGCCCCTCAAAGTCTCGTGCTTTTGTACCAGTTGAAGTGACTTCAACCTCGACACTGAGGCAGTTCTTTACCCTGAAGACCTCCCTTTGAAGCCACTTCAGCGTCATTAATTTTTGCTTCATTTTAATAATCGTAATGGAACTATTAATTCTGTATTATCAGGAGTTTCACGGCGACTAATTTGATGCCAACGTTTCGGAGAAAATACATTGTATTTTTCCTGTCTTTCTGTAATAAATGATTTATGAATGTCGCTGATTTTCGTTTTCTGAGACCAAATCACGCGATCAGAAACAACAGTTTAAGGAATGCTGTGACCTCAATGTCATTCTTTCCGCTTTCAGATTACGTCTACATCCCCGTGGAGGCCCGCACGCAGAAGCTTCTTCGGGAGCAGGCCCGTGATATGAAATTTGGGAGAACAAGACGCCTCACGACGGCGCAGACCAGCAGCGCCCGTCCCCTGCCTGCCGAAGAACATCAAAAAGGAGGAACCACAGGCACACCGGGTGTCGCTTCATCAGAGGCAAGTCGCCGTCATTACTCTTTGGACGAAGTCACTCGCCCGACATCTGTCGCAGGGAAAACAAACTAGTGTGGAAAGTCAGAGGCGAAAAATGACTAGGGTGAACTCTCGATTATCGGGGTTTGTTGGGAAGTTTATCTTCTCCTGTTTGTAAAAACGCATTGCAGTTGAATTTATTTAAATTCCTAAAATTCTACTCTAACTTTTAAACATTAATTGTGTTTCTCTAAAAAGAAACTGGCTGTTGAAAGCAAATATATCTTACAAATAGTTTATATTTTTAAGGACATTAAATATACACATGTCGCCATTTTTCTTGGCCTACGAGAATTACGTCATTTCCTACTTGAGCACTGAAATCTCTATTTCTGTTGGGTTTACATCAAAATCAGCTCCCATTTGGAAAGCGTGCACCTGCATAATATCCACCACGTTAATTTCCATCGTGCTATTATATCGCACGTCGTAACAATACTTTAAGTTACAAGAAGTTTGTTGCACTGGTTGCAGCCCTCTAATCCAACATTTTCTGAATTTCAGGGACAAAACAAAATCAGCCAGAATTCAGCGCCTTATAACACGCAGTCGGCCACAGCAGGAATCTCTGAGCTTCCGTTGTGAAGTGGCCGGAGGGGCAGAAGACACAAAAGTTCCTCTGCCAGTATTTGAGGAAGATTTTTGTTTTACAGAATTTGGTCCTTATTGTAACGAAGGAAATGTCGTCACCATTCGAGAGACCGACTTTCAGCAGTTTGCTAACAACGAGGTTAGTGTCAATTCTCCTTTTGTTTACAACAATTTCGCAGGCCAAACACAAATTCCTGAAAGCACTAATCTATATAAATGGCATGGTAAAATGTGTTTAAGAGAAAAATCAAAATGGCTATTTAACTATGCAGTTAAGAAATATCTGAACATTCGAGCACATGACAGTTTTGTACGTGTGTAATTAATTACGCGTAATTGTTTATAGAAGTGGCTTTAAAATGGTCCTCTCGATCTTCCTTCAATATGTACTTTCACTGGCTCTGTTGGAAACACGTACTACAAATTAAAGAATTCAGATTCTGAATTGTTTGATGTCAATTTCAAAGGACGCAAGGAACATTTTGTAAAGTTGAAATGCAGAAGAAAATATTAACTCAAAATACAGTGCCACTGCTCAGAGTTTTGAGCTGATTTCAAACAAAAATTAGCCAAATTAAACTCGTTTAAAGTTTCTG